ATTGTCCCCAGTCCCCACCACTGTCCCGCTATCCCAACACCACTGTCTCCATCTCTTTCCCACTGTCCCCACCACTGTCCCACTGTCTCCACTGTTCCCACCATGGTCCCCGCTGTCCCCTCCACTGCCCCCTCCAGTGTCTCACTGTCCCCACTGTCCCCGCCACTGTCCCACCACGGTCCCACCGTTCCCATTGTCCCTGCTGTCCCGACGACTGTCCCCACTATCCCTACCACTGTCCCACTGTCCCCATTGCTGTCGCACTGTTCCCACCACTGTCCCCACTGTACCACTGTCCCATTGTCCCACCGCCGCCCTCACCACCACCCTCACAACTGTCCCCACCACTACCGTCCCCACAACTGTCCCACTGTCCCCACTGTCCCCACCACTGTCCCGCTGTACCCTCACCACTGTCCCCACCACCACCGTCCACACCACTGTCCCACTGTCCCCACACCACTGTCCCCACCACCACCGTCCCCACCACTGTCCCACTGTCCCCACCACCGTCCCACTGTTCCGAGGAGCGGGAATCGTTTGCTGGCGGCGAGGGTGGGGGGGGGTCGAACTGGTAGTGACCTCCCCCCTTTCATGATGGACTCGGGGGAGGGGGAGGGAGGGTTCGAACCGGTAGCCCCACCGCGGTTTTCGAGGGAGTGGGGGGGACGTGTTGGGAACCCCCAGTGGCCCCCCACGGTTTTCCGCCAGCAGCGGTAGAACACGCTCTTTACCAAACTGATGTGTTGGTTTCGGTACTTCTGCGAGGTGAAGAACGCCTATAGAAACACAATAACCATCGCGGGCCCTGAAATCCTACCAATTTTTGGGCCTAACGTGCAGCGCGGAAATCGGACTGCACCAAATAAAACGTGAATCGTGGGTTTCGAACCCAACGCGTTTGTTGCTAATTGTGCCGGTCGAGGTGTAGTTTACGCGTATAAATACCGCTGTTGTCCCCCCCAGCCCTCGCGTTCTCCAGAAGGCCAGGGGCAGGTGAGAGGGACGAGGGAGGTGGGTGGGGAGATGGGGCACGGGGGAAAGGGCGAGGAGAGGAGAGCATTCATGAGGGGAAGGGCAACGGCAAGAACGCGATGTCAGGCAGACTGGACTGGCCCTAACAGGGCAGTGATGGGGGATGGGACTCTCAAGAATTGACCTTGGAATTGGAGGCCGTTGGATATACAAAGACACGGCTGGAATCATAACGCCAAGAACTGGAGTCGGACATCTGGGAATCAGAATCGGAGAAATGCGATCGATGGGATCTGCAGCGGGAGCTTAGGCAAATGGTAACCGGAAGAGGAGAGATGATCATGAATGACGGAATCGTGGGGCGTGGGGGTAGGGACCGAAATCGGAAAGAAGAGAACAACAATCGAAGATAACGGGAAACAATGGATCCATAATCAAAGAAAAGGAGCAAACCGCGTGGGGACAGGAACCGTACTGGCAGAGATAATCACACGAGTCGGAGAGGTCGGGGCACGAATTGGGACAATGAATAGAATTGCTGGGGTGCCGGAATCGTGGGCATAGGAGCCTAAGTCGCGAAGATCCAAGAAAGAGTCGGGAAGATGAGAACAATAACCGCTCTGGAGCCTGAAGCGAGAACTGAAATCGGACAAGAGGATCTGGAGTTGGAGCATTGACGAAGGAGCTGGGGATATGGAAGTTTGATGTAGGATGGGAAGCACGATTGCCCAGGAGACGGCGCGGGAGTAGTTGTCAGAGTGGATCCAGCAAGGAAAATGTTGTCGATCGTATCGTCCTTGATTTTGCCACCAGTCTCAACTCCCAACCAACAATGCCCACAATTGTAAATTGTTGTCGGTAATTGCTCGCACGTGCGAGACGATGCCGTCACTCATAAACTTTCTCCGTCCTGCGTGTCTGTGAAGGGCTGGGCGAGAGTCGTGCAAACTTGGAACCCAACTCGCGGGGACTCGTATCCTTCCGTCGGGATCGTGGTTGGCGACTCGTGCTGCAAATTTCCATCTGCAGAGGAGGGAGGTCGGGGGATGGAGGGAGCCCAGAGATGGGGGGGCGCGCGGGCAGGTGCGTAGTTAGCGTGGGGCTCTCTTGGAACCTTCTTCGGACATCTCTGGACGTTCGTGGGCCGTCTAGCGCTGTCTTGGGCCTTCTTGGGCTCCCCTGGCGGAGAACCTCTTTCTTCGGCCCTCTTGAAGTAATCCTGGGCCATCTTCGAGACCTTCTTGGGGCACTCCTGAACTCTTTAAAACATGATTTGGCTCCTCCAGAGACCCCTGGGAACAGTAGTTCGTACAACAAGCGCGGAATCAACGCTGCCAGGGGGTACCTTTGTGACCACCAGCTGGGATCATCTTTGACGCCCAAAAACTGGGCTGTCCGCAGGCGCCGGGGGCGTCCCAGACAGCAATGGGCAACTTCAGTATATAATCAGGCATAGTTGCATGTCTTCTGTTTCTCTTTGTACAAGTATGCAGATTCGTTTTTTTTGTTTCGCCTACGCGTCTGCAAGGGATGCAAGGCCGCAGTCAGTCAGTCGGGCTCTCTTGGAATTGTGCGGGCGAGCACTGGCTCCATCAGCGCGCCCCCAACGCGCGCCCCGCCGCCCATGAAGAGCGATGTGCCGTCGTCGCTCGGGCCGACGGGCTGGCATAGTGGGCTTCCGCGATGAATTGCTTCCGCCTGACCGCGGTCACCATACGCGTCAAACTCACGACATTTGGCGAGTCGTACGTCGCAGTGAACTCTTGCACCAGGGCCAGGTTGGCGTCCTCTTGCGTCGACCGATCTCCGTCCAGCTTCTTCGCCTCGGCCAGCCAATTCAGCTGCTAGGCCCGCAGCCCCTTGATCATCTTGATCGTCTCGCGGCAATGCCACTCGGTAAACTGTGGCCCGCTCAACGGGGAATCGACGAAACCCGTCATCATCATCATCCCCTGGACCAGCTTTCGAAACTCTCGCCACCTCGACCCGCCGTCAAAGTGCTGCACCGATGGCGTGCGCACGTGCGCACGTCGTCGCCTGCTGCCCGGTCGTTCTCGTGCGTCGCCGTCGCGGCCGGACACCGCTTGATCCGCTCCTCTGCAGCAGCTGCGCCAAAGCCGCCCGCGGCCACCCGAGGCCGCGCCGTGAAGACTCGCCCGCCCGCCTGCGCGGCGCCAGGGGCGAGCGTTAAGTCGGGCGCGTCCCCCTGCTGGGGGATCTTCGATGAAAAATAACAAATACTAAAAAAATACTCCAACATGGTCACAGTATGGTCAAAAGTACTACAAGAATAGTGCCCCTATTAGTTTTTGCATATTTTTGGATCCTCCCCCTGTAGAGGGACGGGCCCGACTTAAGGCGAGCGTCACGACTTCGCCGATGCTGTGCCCGTCGACGTGCCCCCGCCAGCACCCCACCCGGCCACCGCCGGCGCACCGGCAGCCGCGGCGCCGCCGGGCGCGGCACCTGCTCCGCCCGCTCCCGGGAGGGCGGCAGGGCGCCTCGGGCGGCTGCTGGGCGCAGAGCACCCACGGCCTGCGCCTCGCCGAGCAACCGGTGCACCTCGGCGTCGGCGGCCGGAGCGGCTGCTCCCCGCTGTCGCCGAGGAACCTCGGCGACTCGAGGGTCGCCTGATCGCTCACGCCTCCGTGGTTCGTGTCGAAGTCGGGCGTCCCGATCGTGGCGAGGCCCTCCGCACGCCAGCAGGCACAACCCGCTGGTGACGCAGCTCCTCGCGCGCGCGCCCGCGTGCTTTACCAATGCCCTCCTCAGGTCGACCTACCCTGGGCCGTTTCCGGACGGCCCCGACGCCCAGGAAGGGACCCGAAAGGCCGAGAGTAGCGAAATACCCTCCTTCGTTACTCTCGTCTTCCTTCTCCTCCTCCTCCTCCTCCTCCTCCTCCTCCTGCTCCTCCTGCTCCTCCTGCTGCTCCTCCTCCTCCTCCTCTTCCTCCTCCTGCTCCTCCTCCTCCTCCTTCTCCTCCTCCTCCTCCTCCTCCTGCTCCTCCTCCTCCTCCTCCTCCTCCTCCCCCTGCCAGAGGGGAAATGGCCATCCGTCCGCCCCCCCCCCGGGAAACGCTGACCCAGCTGCCGCCAGAGGCGTCGTGCTCACGGCGCCCGCGAGGGCCACTGTTGAGTGGGGCGCGCGTCGGCAGGACCAGCGCGAAAGAGCACGCTGCGGCAAGATCGCGTCGTGTCGAACCGGGCGTTGGTTCCTGACACCGCGAGGATCGTTCAAACTTGAACGATCGGCCCCTTCAAAGAGGCCAGACCGTTCAAGGATGGGCCGATTCTGGGCCGCAGGCGGCGTTCAACCTGAAACTCCCGCGTCGGGGTCGCCGCCGGTCGACACGACGCGAACCTGCCGTATCGCCAAGGTGACGCCGACGAGCTGCTCGAACGAAAACTGTCCATCGCTGCGATGAGTCTCCGCTGACTCGCATGTGCAATGGCACTGGCACGCTGGCTGAAGGATCTCTGGGCACTGGACTTCGGCTTTGCCTGCCTCTCAGGCGGAGTAGAACAGATCGGAGAACGCTCCACGAGTGATCCAGACTAAGAATGCTGTACCGAGAGTACTGGTAGCAAGTTGAACCAACATCCAAGACCTGAGAGATGTCCAGACCATCCAGTAGCGGGAACGGCTGCGCGCTGTGATGGCGCAGCACACAGGACCTCAGTGTCGAAAGCGACCAGGTGGCGGACGATCAATGCTGTGCAACGCGCTCTCAAGGGGAGGAGGAGGAGGAGGAGGAGGAGGAGGAGGAGGAGGAGGAGGAGGAGGAGGAGGAGGAGGGGGAGGAAGAGGAGGAGGAGAAGGAGGAGGAGGAGGAGCAGGAGGAGGAGGAGGAGGAAGAGACGGAGGAGGAAGAGGAGGAGGAACCGGCAAAATATTAAGAACAGGGAGGAGGAGAAGAAGCAGAAGGAGAACGATGACCGAGACGGCCGCGGCGGGCCCTCGCAGAGCCGACCTGCCAGCCGATGGAGAGGGCGAGACGGTGGCAGCAGAGGGGCGTAGGGCGACCTCACCAGGGCCGCCGCAGACCAGGCTTCGGCCTGGCGGGCCGTCGCCGCCGTCGCCGTCGCCGCCGCCGCCGCCGCCGCCGTCGTCGTCGTCGCCCCCTGGATTTCTCCTGAAACACAACTGGACCAATATCCCGAGCAAGATCCAGCCGCGTCGACGAGGCCCACTGCCCAGAAGAGGAGGTGGGACGGAAGCAAAGACACTGCGGCTGTATCTCTGACGTGCGATCAACAAGAAACGCAGAGGAGCAAACGGGAGGGGAGGAGGGATGAGGAGGGAGCGGGAAGGGAGGGAGCAAGAGGGAAGCGGAGGGGGGGGGGGATGAGGACGAGGAGGGCCCGTATCCGTTTTGGCTCGAGCCGTTCTGGCTCAAGGGGGAGGAGGAGGAAGGGGGGAGGATCCGGGGGGCGCTGGCCGCGCCGCGACCCGCCGGGCGCCAACAGCCATGACGGAACAGCGGTCTGGGCATGGTGCGCTCTCTCAGCGTGCGCAACCGGTCAAAGCGGGGTTTCGGGGCCCGGCATGCTCGCCTCGCCCGACGGGCCGGGCAGCGAGCGGCCCAACATGCCGTGAGCGACAAGATACAGGATCCGAAGGGATCGTTTCGAAGAGCCCCAAGTGCAGCTGGGTAAGTGGGAGAGTTGAAGGTCTCATCAAGAATCAAAGCAGCGGAGCAGTTGAGTAGTGGCAGCAGTGGCAGCACAGGAATGCTGGATGCCACACCACTTGGACGAAGACGCATTCCAGAATCAGAGCGCACGAGAAGCTGCGGCAGGGGCAGCAGGCGGTGGGCCGTTGGGACACCAGAGGTCATCAGCCACATCCAGAGTGTGCGAGAAGAGTCGGCAGTGGCAGCAAGTACAGATGTTCGAGAACATCCGGCAGGGGCAACAAGCTTCGGCAAGAGTGCTGTATACCAGACGCAATTAGCTGCATACACGGGCCAGCGTGTGCGAGAATAGACGGCAGTGGCTGTGCGAGAAGGGAGGGCACAGGCAGCTCAGGCAAGCAGTGGCGTAAGTGGCAGACAGGCAGTGGCAGCTGCCAGCTGCGAGCCCGGCGTCAGCAGCAACAAGGATGACAGCACGAAGCACGAGTCCGACGTCATCAGCCACGAGCACGAGGACGGTGACGCGCAGCACGAGCCCGACACCGTCAGCTACGAGGGTGGCGCTGAGAAGCACGCGCCCGATACCCTCTGTCACGAGTGTGGTGCAGCGAAGCGCGACCCTGATGCCCTCAGCTACGAGGGTGTCCTGAAGCACGAGCCCAACGCCGCCACCTACGAGGGAGGCGACGCGAAGTACGAGCCCAGCGTCGTCAGCTACGAGTGGTGTCGTGAAGCAGGAGCCCGCTCGAAATTCGCGGGGGGGGACGCATGGGTGGCTCGAAATTCGCAGGGGGGACGCATGTGAACACTGCCACTCGGGCCTTCGATGGAGCTCACCATGGGACCACGAAGCGTATGAGCGGTGTGGCGGAATGGACATGGAGTGCGCGGGGAGCCGCATGCAAACACCGCCGCTGGGGTCTTCGGTGGACTCCCTATGGGGCTAGGAAGCGTGTGAGGGGTGTGCCGAAGCAGAAACACGCGGAGGACAGAGGCAGGGATGGAAGGAGGGAGGAGGGGGAGGAGTGGACGCGGGGGGCTGTCCCTGCAAAACGAAGACCCCACACTACGAAAAAGGGGGCCGCCGCCGGCGGGCGCCTAGGCGGGAACCCGGGCGCCGCGCCAGGGGCCGACGGACCACCGCGGCCTGGGGCTGCGGCACGGGCGCTGTTTGCGCGGCCTGGGCACTGCTCGCGGGTCCTGGGGCAGCGGCAGCCGCCGCCGCCGCCGGGAGGAGGGCGGGAGGAATGAATGATCCACATATCTTTGCGTTGTGAAGGGGGTTGCAACTGCAAATCTTCTGCCGTTTCCGGCCTCCGGGGGCCCCCGCCGGGACCCAGGACCGTCCAAAACAAGTCAGGATGACGATGCGGTCCCCGGGATGGGGTCCAGACTTCAGTGGAGCCGCGTTGCATAACAAATTGCACCTTTGCGACAAAAGACCTTACGGAGCTCTCTACAGCGGCCCAGCAGTCCAGGTCCTGGTGAAAACGACGACGACGACGACCACGACGACGACGACGACGACGACGACGACGACGACGACGACGACGACTACTACTACTACTACCGCTAGTACTACGACGCCAACTTCTACTACACCAACAACTACTACTACTACTACTACTACTGCTACTTCTTCTTCACCTAGTACGACTACAACTAATATTACAACTACGACTATGACTACAACAACGACAACGACGACGACGACGACGACGACGACGACGACGACGACGACGACGACTACTACTACTACTACTACTACTACCACTACTACAACTACTACGACTGCGGCTACTACTACTACTACTACTACTGCTACGAGTACTACTGCTGATTCGGCTGTTACTGATTCTACCACTACCACTGCTACAACTACTGCTGCTGCTGCTACTACTACTACTACTACTAGTACTCGTGGAAATACGACTTGTACTACTTCTACTGCTACTCGTACTACTACTACTACTACTACTTTACTATTACTACTACTACTACTACTACAACAACTACTACTTCTACTACTACTACTACTACTACTACGACTACTACTACTACTACTACTACTACTACTACGGCTACTACTACTACGACGGCGACACCGCATACTACTGCAACTATGGTTAATGCGACGAAAGCGGCGTCTACTACTACTACTACTACTACTACTACTACTACTACTACTACTACTACTACAACTACGGCGACGACGATTACTACTACTACTGCTACTAGCTACTACTACTGCTACTGCTACTAGCTACTGCTACTACTACTACTACTACTACTACTACTACTGCTCCCTACTTCTAGTACTACTACTACTACTACGTCTACGGCGACTACTACTACTACTACTACTGCTACTACTACTAATAATAATAATATCACTACTATCACTACTACTACTACTACTACTACTGCTACGGCTACTACTGCTACTACGACTACTTCTTCTACTACTCCTGCTACTTCTACGCAAAGCCCCTACTGCTCCGACTACTACTACCACGGCTACGACACCTACTCGTACTTCTGCTACTTTAAAACTCCTACCGCTTCTCGACTTCCTACTACAAGAGGAACTGCTACTAATACTACCACCCACAATAGTACACCACAGCCACAAATCCTCAAGCTTAATATTACTACTACTAATTCTACTGCTACTACCTACTACTACTACTCCTACTCCTACTACTACTACTACTACTACTACTACTACGACAACGACTACCACTACACCTACTACACTTCCAAACTAATACGAATACCACTCCTGCTACTACTCCCACTACTACTACTACTACTCCTACTACTACTACTACTACTACTACTACTACGACTAGTACCACAACGGTTGATACTACAATCACAACCAACACAATGCATACAACGGCCAATAATACTAGTATTACTATTAGTACTAAGACAACTACTACTACGACTGTTACTATTATTACTACTACTACTGCTACTATACTACTATTACTGCCACGGCTACGGATAGTACTACGACTACGACTACGACTACAACCACTGCGAGCAACACTAGTATGACTACAACTACTACCACCACCGACAGTACTACTTCCACTACTACTACTACTACTACTACTGCTACTATTACTGCTGCTGCTACTGCTACTACTACTACTACTACTACTACTATTGCTACTGCTACTGCTACTGCTACTGATACTGCTAGTGCTACTGCGACTGCTACTGCTGCCAGTACTACTTAGATTACAACTACGACTACGACTACAACAACGACGACGACTACTACTACTACCCCTACGACTACTACTACTACTACTACTACTACTACTACTGCTACTATTACTACTACTACTACTACTACTACTACTCCTGCTACTACTCCTGCTACTACTCCTGCTACTACTACTACTACTACTACTACTACTACTAGTACGGCTACTACTACTACTACTACTACTACTACTACTACTACTACTACTACTACTACTACTTTTACTATTACTACTACTACTACTACTACTACTACTACTACTACTACTACTACTACTACTACTACTACGACTACTTCTACTACTACTACGACTACTTCTGCTACTACTGCCTGGTTATTCTATGGCGGGCTGTGAGATGGTTCGTGGCCGGGGCGCGGGTCGCCGCCCTGGCTGCCTTTTCAAACGACAGCCCAAACCTTGTCGGCATTATCCGGCATTATCCGCTCTGGCGGCTTTCCCTCGTCAGAATTGGTTGCTGGAACCCACGCCTTAGGCTGCTGGAGCCACTGTCCCTCGTAGACGGTGCCAGTGCGCGCGTGCGTGAGCGTGTGCGCGTGCGCGCGCGTGCGCGCTCGTGTGCGTTGGTGCGCGTTGGTGCGCGCGTGCGTGCGATCGCTCGTGCGCGCGTGCGCGCGTTCAAGCATTCGAGCGTGAGCGCGAGCCCGAATCCGAGCGCGAGCCCGAGCCCGACGCCGAGCACGATTTTGAGACCTTTTGCTGTCCCTTTTCCTCCTCCTCCTCCTTTTCATCATCATCATCCTCTTGATCCGCCTCATATGCTCCCCTCTGTTCCTCGTCTCCCATCCGGAGGGCGTTCGCGCGCGAGCGCGTGCGTGCGCGCGCGTGTGCACGCGCTAGTGCATGCTACTGCTTGTGGTCTAGAGCAGCGACGCGCTGCGATCTACGTGGGCTCCTCCCGGGCGCTGCGCCGCTACCTGCCGCTGAAGCAATACTTCTGTGCGCGAGCGCGCTAGGGACTACTACTGCACTATCACAAGAACTGCGGTCGCCAGCCCCCCGGCCAACCCATTCAGTAGAAGAAAAACAACAAAAAACATAAACATAAACTTTTGGCGCACCGCCTGGATTTCTTGTATCCGCACTGGGACCCCC